GGCGCCTTTCAGACAGGGTTGCAGAGGCAAGACAGCAGGTGAGTTAGCGGAGCACAAAGCAGCTCGATGTTTCTGTGTATCAGGTCAGAGGTGAGGAGGGGCAGGTCCCCCAGGGCGGCACTAGAGAAGTTGGGAGGCAGTAGCAGGGGTCCAGGAGAAAGTGTGAAGGAAACCTCCAGGGGTGCGGTCATGCGCCTGCCTCGGAGGTGGGGTGCTGCGGCTGCGAGCTTTCGCACGTGATGAGCTTCGGGAAATGCCGAATGAGCTTCGTCTTGGCTTAGTGATGCTCACATCTGTGTGAGAGTTCTGTGGAGACCACATTCGCCGGTCCATCAAGACGGATTTGTGTCATAGATGGCAGACGTGGCCTCGGAATCCGGTCTTACAATCTGCTTCACCCTCAGCAGCCCTTGCAGATCTCTACTGCACTCTGAAAAGATTCTGCCAAAGAGGTCAGTCTCCCTAGAAACAAAATACATTATTGACACCTTCCAAGAATCAAAAAAACAGCAGGCTTCAAAGATCTTCTAGTCCAAGGTCGGCAAATATGGCCCTGCCCAAGGCCTTTTTTTGTGCAGTCCATGAGCTGAGAATGTCTTTTTTACTTTTTTTAAGAGTGAAAGAAAGAAGAAAATATGACAAACTGTTTTGGCCTACAGTGCCTAAAATATTTACTAGTTGGCCCTTTTCAGAAAAAGCTTGCCAACCACTGTTCTCATATGACTGCCTGATACCGTAATCCTCTCTGCAGTGTTACGTGGCAAATGATTGCCTAATATGTGCTTGAACACGTCCACTGATGGAAGATTCATCATCTCTTTGGTCAGTCTACTTCCTATTTGGACAGGCCATTAGTAGTTTTCAAACTCTGCTGAAATCTTGTCTCACTGTAGCATCCATTCTTTGGCCCTTTTTGGGAGAAGAAAGCTATTTCATGTCAACATTTACTGAACTAATCTATTCTAGGCACTGTGCTAAGTGCTGAACACAGATGAATAAGACAAGGTTCTTGCATCAGGGTTTCCCAGGTGTTATTTCTTGAAACCAAAGTGGTTGAGCTGGTCATCTTACATCTGTCATTCCCTCTCTTCTTGCCATTGGGTTAGGGCTTTTTTTTTTTTTTCATTATTTTACTTATTTCTGTATTATTATTTCACATAGACAGTATAAAATTCAAAAGGCAAAAGGGCTATACAATGAAAATAAGACTCTCCACACCCCAGTCTCCTGACCCCAGAGCTTCTTTCCTGGGAGGCAACCACTGTTACACATTTCCTGTAGGGATTTGCTGGTAAAGACCAGCACTAACACAAGGGTTGGGTCCATTTCGACAGGAACTTCTGATAAGTAACATACAGTGGCGGGGTTTTTTTGTTTTTTTTTTTTTTTTGAGCTCTTGCTTGTTTAAGTTGCCGAGCGTGACTTAGTTTTATTTCCATAAAAGCCTGGAATTTATAAGTTTGGGTGGTAGACGCAGCCCCAGAAGGTTTGTATTGCTTTACATCCACCTACTATTTCAGTTAAATCCTAACTGTATATTTTGGTTACTGCTGGGTTTCTTCTACTGCTGCGGTTCTTGTTCATTACAATTTCAAATCCTCAGAGCCTTTCCTCTTTCATGAGAAGTGACACAGTCACGTCTTGTGTAACACTTGGGTTTCACATCCTGAATACAACGTTGAAGTGTGATAGAAATAATCTTTTAGTTTTCTAAGCTAAGCAGAGACCTCAAGTTTCATCTGCACTGTTCAGGGTTATATGTGCAAGCCTTACTTTTCAGGACACAGGTAATGTTTGGATCTAGGTTAGTTACACATGGATGACTTTGCACCTGAGACTCACTTCCTCTTCCACCAAAATTCCTTTCTGATCATTACTTCTTAAGTCTTCCCTTCTAATTTAGGGAAGATGGCAATGTGACATAGATGTATAGGTTCCTAAGTGATACCTGTATGTTGAGTATCCTATTTAGATGTTTCCAGCAGATTCCTAACCACTTGTTGCTGCTGTTGCTTAAGAACTTTCCGTTGCCTTAACCAGTCAGGCAACACTTTAGCAGCTGGACACCAACCACATCCTCTTGTGAAATAGGCTCTTGGGTTCTGTTTGGAATTTCTCAAAGACCAAACGTGTCAGAAAATGAAGGATATGCCTCTTATGCAAATTTCTTTCTTGGCATGTCTGTCCATTCTTTTCTGTGGTACTCCTGAGTCACTTTTTCCTAGCTGCTGAATAGGAAAATGGAATAGAATTTTCTCTTTTGTCACTGGCACTGGTAAAATTCCATCTTGGTGACCTTAGCAGGTCATCAAAATGATGATGAGTTACTGTTGACTTTTAAGCCTAAGTTGTGAATGATTGAAGTGTGTAGGGGCCTGATGACCCGTCCCACGGAGGATTTCAGATGAGATCCCTTTGTACCACTGCCTGCTGCTCTGTTGGTTCTTATCTCTCTGAACCTCAGTTTCTTCTTCTGTGAAATTGGAGCTGTCTCCTCTTAGGGCTTCGGGGAGGAGAAAATTGAGGCGCACACCCCTGCTGCGGTGCCTGCTCCTGGCCAATACTCATAGCTGCCACCTTCATCTCAGTGCCAGAGGACTGTTTATAGTTGAGCCTCTAGCATTTAGTGATTTATTGGAGGTGAGAGAGAGAAAAATTGAAGATGACTCTGAGGGTTCTTCATGGCTGTATGGTGGCACTATCTAGTAAACTAGGACATATAGGAACATGGGCCGAATTTTAGTGAAAGGTATGTTCAGTTTTGGATTTGTCAAACTCGAGGTATCTGTGAGAAATTCACATCCTGGCTTTGGAAGACACTTAAATATATGGTTGGAGGTTAGCACTAGAAATACAGTCCTGAGATTCATTGGCATATAGATGGAAATGGATGTGGAAAATGAATAATTTTGCTTTGGGGAAAGTTTATAGACTAAGGAGAGGGCTGAGCATGGGAACTTTCAAAAACCAACAGTAGAAGGAAAATGCTAGCTGTGTTGTGGAGGAAGAGAGGAGAAAGCAGCAATGGAGGCCCGCTAAACCAAGCAGGAGGTTGTTAGGGTGTTCTAGACTGGCGTTTCTCAAAGTGTGGGCCCTGGGCCATCTGCATGAGGGTCTGTTTCTCCACTGGGCTCTGAAGCCACAGTACGTAGGATTCACAAACTTTTCTGGGGCCTATGAACCCAGGAGTGACGCAAAAAGATGAACATTTTGAGAGTGCAAAATTATAAAGATCCTTTCGAACAAAAGCCAGAAATTATTTAATATGGGACGAGGGTTCATTTAAATATGTTTGAAATGATTTAGAGGTGGAGACTCCACAAGTAAGAGTGACAGTGGCCTGAAGGCTTGAAGACAGTGTCAAACTCGAATCAGAATCACCCTGGGGTCCTAGTCCCGGCCACCCTCACCGTCCTTTCTCCCCCGCCCCCCAGAAGGTGGAGCCCAGACATCATTTTTTTTTTAATTAATTTATTTTATTTATTTATTTTTGGCTGTGTTGGGTCTTCATTGTTGCACATGGGCTTTCTCTAGTTGCAGCGAGCGGGGGCTACTCTTCATTGCGGTGCATGGCCTTCTCATTGCGGTGGCTTCTCTTGTTGCAGAACACGGGTTCTAGGCACATGGGCTTCAGTAGCTGTGGCTCATGGGCTCAGTAGTTGTGGCTCACGGGCTCAGTAGTTGTGGCTCGCGGCCCTAGAGTGCAGGCTCAGTAGTTGCGGCACATGGGCTTAGTTGCTCCGTGGTATGTGGGATCTTCCCAGACCAGGGCTTGAACCCATATCCCCCGTGTTGGCAGGCGGATTCTTAACCACTGCGCCACCAGGGAAGTCCCGCATCTTCATTTTTTAATAATCCCTCAAGGTGGTGAGAGTTTGAAAACACTCAGTTGGGCATTGTCTGGTGTGTGATGCCACAGATCCATACTGAGGCAGCAGAGGGTTTAAGGACAGCCATGTGCCCAGCCGCTTCGCAGAGCCTTTCGCCCGGCTCTGACCCACACTTGGCTCCTCTTTCTTGGTGTTTAGTGTGTTTATGTAGTGCTCACTTTGCATTTTACCGTGTCGTCACCATTGGACCAAAGCTCCTTGTCTCTAATTCCAATATCTAACAAGTTTAGAAAACTGAAAGGGGTTTAATAACCTTGGCACAAAACTCAAACAAAACCTCTCTGAGTAGATGTGAACTGTCTATTTTTTTTTTTTTGATTTATCCGTCTGTTGTGACTGTTCATACATTCTACTGCAGAAATATTCATCTGTCTTGCGGCAGTTGGACAGGATGGAAAGTGACCTCATCAACTTGTGCTTTTGGAACTGCGAAGCTCCTGTAGTGTTGTGCTTCTCCCCCTGGGGCCTGTGTACCCCTGAGAGTGTGCAGGTCATGTGGGGAGTTACAGTGTACACATGCCTGATTGCCAGGACAGTCAAATTTATTTGATGATTTGAGGGGGAGAATGAAATATTAAAAAATATATGGTAGAGTAAAATGCAAGTTTTCTGCATTTGAAAGACAAAACATGAGATTTCGAAGACATTCTGGTACTGTGGTTAGGGTGGGGGAAACTTCTTCATCCTCCTCGGCTGGGGTGTTCAAGCACTGCCTCACTCAGAATCCAGACAGTTTGCATGGCTGTGATGCCAACTGGCTGGACTTCAGGTTTTGTGCTTGTAAAGTTCCCTAGGACAACACGGGTTGGCAGAAACTTTTGAGACTATGACCGTGTCGAAGAAGGAATAACGCTAGTGCATCAGTCAGACCGACTTTAATGAGAAAGGGAGATGCACCAAAGTGAAGGCCAGGAAGTTCAGTTGTGTCGTAAGGAGACTAAACTTGGCAACGTAGCCAGATTCCTCAGGTTGATTTCCAAAGTTGTGTCTTCAGGCACCCCATCTACCTCTCGTTACTTTCTGTTTGTTTGTTTTGACTAAGCCCATGATTACAAATGTCGTTTCTCACCATGTTTTGTGCATTGTTGCTGTGTTCTGTTTTGGTTTTAGCAGGCAGTAAATAATGGCGGCAGTTATGGGGGATCCCGGACTCTCCAAATTGCAGTTTGCCCCCTTCAGCAGTGCCTTGGATGTTGGATTCTGGCATGAGTTGACCCAGAAGAAGCTGAATGAGTATCGGTTGGATGAAGCTCCCAAGGACATTAAGGGTTATTACTACAATGGTAGGCGATGGGGAACTCCATCTTCTGCCCTCCTCTGTTACCTTCTCTGCCCAGTATAGGGTCAGCTTTCCCTCAGGAAGGGATGTCCTTGACTTTTATAATTAATACTATTCACTGGTTTCTATTTTACTTCCTGGCTTTTGACCCAAGTTCACTTTCACTCCTTTTCTCCTATGGGGAAAAGAAAGGGAGAACCTAATTTATTAATCCAAAGAATTAATACCGATTACTTAGTATTGTTGGGGGATGGGATTGGAAATATTTTTCCCAATGAGTCTTGTTTTGTATTCTTGGCAAATTCTTTGAATTCATGAAATCTGTCATCTTCTGCTATGTCCCTGTTTAGTTTGGATGACCAGGTATTGGATGGGGCACTTTGGGCTCAACCAAAAGAGCAAAATTACTCACAGACGTTTTTGTTATAAATGCCACTATTACTGACTAGTAATTGACTATTTGATAATGCTTCTGTCCAGGTGATTCTGCTGGGCTGCCAGCTCGCTTAACATTGGAGTTCAGTGCTTTTGACATGTGAGTATTTTTTGCTCAAAATGTAAAATAAAGAACACTGTTTTTTGCAAGGAATGAGCATTCTTAACCTTCATCGTAGGTGGGCCACGTGGGGCACTACAGAAGCTTCCAGTGAGCAGGACCAGCTTCTCATGATTCTCTTGTACCTCCCATGGCACAGAGACAAGTGCTAGAGGCCTAGGACTATCTGATTCATTTTTTCAGCAGCTATGTATCGCAGCCTATTAGGTACATCAATGAATATTTATTAGGCTACTTTTGTATACAAGTCACTGTGCAAGGCATTGTAGGGATATACAAAGAAACATGACATATGCCCTCAAAGAGATTTTTCTGACTAATTGGGAGCCGTGGGGAGTTGCTGGAGAGAAGAGAGACATTTATTGACTTAATTATTGACATATTTTCCATACATAATCCTTTCAGACCTGCCAGGTGTGGTTCTTCTCTCTTTTACAGATGAGGAAACCATGGGTTCAAAGGTAAAATGACTTGCCCAAGGTTACACGTGGCTAAATTTAGGAAGCAAGGGTAAGAGAGAAATAAACTGTATTTCTGAAGTTGCAGTCTGAGTAGCTGGGGGCATTTTGCTGTCTTCTGTAGAAACTGAGAAGCCAGGAGGGAGATACAGTTTGGGCAGGAGGTAAGTTTGTTTTAGAACATGTTGAGTTTGAGGTGACAGCGTCCAGTAGAAATGTCCAGGGAGCACTGGCATCCAGGAGGGAGGGTCATCCACGTAGAGGTCGTGAGGCTGTAAGAGGGGAAGAGACTACAGTGTAAGAAGAGCGAAGGGCTGGAATAGTGAATGGACCTGATTAGGGTGGGCAAGGGGACACAGAACTCACCAAAGAGACGGGACTTGTCAGAGAAGTAGAACCAGAGAAGCTGTCTTCAGGAAGGGAAGAGAGGGTCAACAGCATCAGAAGCAGAAGCATCAGAGTTCAGTGCTAGGGTTGCTGGAATTGTTGATTGGGTTGTTTGAGAAAGTAAATTCTGCACAAAAGGGTGGAGCAGAAACCATGCTGAGAGGCTTTAGGATAACTGAGAGTTGAAGGGTCAAAGGCTTCAGGGAGGGAGGGCAGCTTTTTCCTGCTCCTGCATGTGTCAGCTGTGTCAGGGTCGGGGGTCTGGGGAAAGTGAAGAGGTGTTTGCTAAGGACCGCCTGAACATGGCGGTAGTCAAAGGTTAGGGCATCTCAAATAAAGTCTCCCTAGAATTAGAAAATAAAAATCTCTTCAAAAGTCAATACATTTTATTCCTCTATCACAATCAAATTGTGAAATTGAATTGTGCAACATGAGTGGAAAATGATGTTAGCCTTTATATCTTTAAAAGGTATGTGTTGATGTTTCTTGTTCCCTTCAGGGCTTTCTTGCTCCATAAAAAATCCTTGTGATCGCTTCTGAAAACAAATTAAATCTTAGTTATCTGTCTCCTGTGTTGGGAAAGACTGACTGAATTTTGGAGCAATTACCAGATAATGAGGAAAATATATTCATTGTACAGCCTTGAATTATCTTGAGCTGGTAGAGGGGGAATAGCAGCAGTGTAGTCTGCTACGTTAATCTGGAGAGTCCAGCGTTTATTGCAAGCTACCCTCGCTCCCGTCTATTCTGATACTAGACTGAAAGTTGTTATTTTCTGAGTTTCAATAATTTTATTCTTTGGCACAATTAATTATAGAAAAATGCAGTTCACAGAAGTTAGGTTTGATCTTGTTTCAAAGTCCAAGCATCTTAAACTTTAGCAATCCAGAAATTTTGGTTGAAGGAGGTAAGAAAATCTGTGATCCTGCAGCTACGGCTTTCACACAAATTGCTCTCTTTTCCTGGTCATAATTTGTGATTTGGCTTTTGAATGCTCGTGTGAGGCTCCGTGGTGGGCGCTGGGGGAGATGGGCGAGAATAAGACATAGGGGCCCCGGATCGGAAGCTTGAAGGCCTGCTGTCTGCAGCTGATTAACTGTGTGTCCTGGAATAAGTCCTTCTCATTTTCCCAGCTTCAGTTGCCTCATCTGTAGCTCCCAGCTTCTAACATTCCTTCCAGTTTTAAAAGTTTGTGATTTTCTGGGTCCCCTTTTCTTAGGATGGTTGGTGCTGTGATTCAAATGTTTGTGTTCTTCAAAAATGCATATGTTGGGCTTCCCTGGTGGCGCAGTGGTTGAGAGTCCACCTGCCGATGCAGGGGACACGGGTTCGTGCCCCGGTCCGGGAAGATCCCACGTGCCGCGGAGCGGCTGGGCCCGTGAGCCATGGCCGCTGAGCCTGCGCGTCCGGAGCCTGAGAGGCCACAGCAGTGAGGCCCGCGTACCGCAAAAAAAAAAAAAAAAAAATGCATATGTTGGAAAGCCAGTGCCCAGGGTTATCGTCTAAGGAAGTGGGGCTTTGGGAGGTGGTGAGGGCATGAGGGCAGGGCTCTCGTGAATGGGATTAGTGTCCTTCTAACAGAGGCCCCGGAGAGCTAGCTCTCCCCCTCCACCCTGCAAGGCCATAACTGGAAGCAGGCAGTCTGCAACAGGAAGAGGATCTTCACCAGAACCTGACTGTGCAGACCCCTTGATCTTGGACTTTCAGCTTCCAGAACTGTGAGGGATAAATATCTAATGTTTAGTAGCCACCCAGTCTGTGGTGTCGTGTTAACAGCCTCTCAGGCAGACCAAGACAGTTAGGAAGTTTAATAAAGACACTTGGGGCTCCTCAGGAGAAACGAGGTTTTTTGTATCCAAATTATTTTCATTATTATTGTTCTTTCTTTGCTTTTATTGCTGAACATCTGCATGGGTTTGTAGGGAAAATCTTTATGAACTTATTCATCCAACACCGAATGCTCCTTGTATGCAGGATGTGTAGGTGTTAGGAATAAAAAGGCTTAAGAAATGGGGAACTCTAGAGGAGCTCTGGATGGAGGTAGAAGACAGGTATTGGCATTACAGTGAATGCAGTGCTGGAATAAACGTGGAGAGTTAATAGTCATTTCAGAAATACTTATTGATTGCCTCCTCTGTGTCTTGATAATAGACTGTGATGGGCCCTGGACATACAGAGAAGAATAAGATACAGTCGAAGGGCTAACAGTCCTCGTACTCTTTAATAGATGCCAAGTGTACCTCAGCTTTGCACAGGACCAGATAAATCTCTCTTACTCTGAGACCCTGGAAGCCTGATGGATCTCTGCCAGTAGCTAGCAACACAGGATCCCGTTCTCTACATTGTTTTAAGTGAGTTATCAGTCAAGTAGTATTTTATCAGGCACCAGCCGTCTTGCACTGGAGGGTGCTGTCGTAGGGTAGGGCATACTGATGAACCAGACCCCAACACGTAATGGCCCAAACACAGAGGAAGTCTCTTTCTTACCCCCTTAATAGTCCAGGGTGGGGATCCAGTCTTCTTCCCTCTTACGGCTCCATCGTCCTGGAGGGCTTGCCTTTGTGTGCTGTTGAAAACTGAATTGTCACCTTCTGGTAGCAATAGATAGAGGTGGAGGAGAACCAGAGTGAAAATCAGAAGAGACACACCCACTCTCTTAAAGGCCCTCGCGGGGTGGGGCTGTGCATCACCCCCCTCAGATTCCATCAGGGAGAGCTCGAGGCCTCACCTTTCTCGCAGGGAAGACTGGGAGACATGGTGCTGAGCTACAAGCATCAGAGAATTATTTCTGTTGAAGGAAAGGAAAATAGATTTTGGTGGACAATGTCTATACAAATTTGAAGCTGGTTAAAAAAAAAAAAGTCCATTCCTTTGAGGAACATTTATCTATGTAGTCATAGGAAAGATTTTTCTTTTCTAAGCCTCAAGTTGGACTTAATAGAAATAGAAGGCATAACGCCTGCCCTCAAAGAACTTAAGTAGTAGCTGAGGAAATAAGACTCAGATGCGAAATCGTCTGTGCAGGGCACAGGCTCCCTTATTCTCCGCTGTCTCGCTAGCACCTAACTCAGGTCTGACGTGTACTGGTTGCTCAGGTAGTTGCTAGAGTCAGTTGCACAAGCAGCCTGAGGCCCTGGCTGTCCAAACGGGGTGTGGTGTGGTTGGTGGAAAGGCACCAATGGACTCTGTTGCAAGATGTGACGGACAGAAACTCAGACACTATTACAGAAAGCAGTAAGTAACGTAGTCATGCCCCCAGACTGAGTGTGACTTAGGTTCCCAAAGCTCCCCACGGGCATGTGAAGCTGTGCACACATGGCAAAGCTTCCTCCGGGTGTGAAAAGCGACCTCTGTGCTTCTTTTGGGGGAATCTATTCCATCCCGGCCACCCCCACTGCCTGTCTGTCCTGGAGGCTCTGGCCGCATGCCTGCCTTTGTCCAGGAGACTCCAGAACAGCCACGGTACTTTCCTGAGTTATCACCGTGAGACTGAGAGACATGAAGGCCAGATGTCCAGAGGGAACATCCCCAGGCAGGCCCAGGCTTTAGGCCTTTGTGGGATCCATTCTTTACCTGGTTAGTGTGTACATTTTTGAGAGTTCACTGTTGGCTTTAAGAGCTGGGGAAGATTTCTAATTCTGGTTTTTTAAAATCGCTTTATTGAGATACACTTCACACACCATAAAATTAACCCTTTTAAAATGGACAATTCGGCACTTTTTCGTATATTCATGAGGTTGTGCAACCACCACCACTGTCTAATTCCAGAACATTTTCATCACCCCAGAGAGGAGCCCTGTACCCCTTAGCAGTCACTCTCCATCCCTCCCTCCTCCCTTTCCTTAGCGCTAGGCAAGCATGAATCTACTTTCTGGCTTTATGGATTTGGCTGCTCTGGATATTTCATAGAAATGGAATCCTAGGAAACTAAACTCATAAATATCCAGGATCAGGATTTGGACTGAATTCTCTAGTTTCCAAGTCTAGGGCTCTTTCCAGTCCTTATCTGAACCACCTCTTTGTAGAACGAGTGGAACTTGAACCTGGAGAAACTGCTAGAATGGCTTTCCCTCCCATTATCACTTCTTAAATTCTTTCCCTTGGCCGCCTCCCCTGGTGGAACTTTAGTCATGAAAAATGCTTCTCTTTTGAAACTCAGCTTGTCCTCGGTAATTAACTCGCACGAGGACTCATGTCCTAGGAGTGTCGCTGTCCTGGCAGCTGCTTGCATTCTTGTGCTTTAGTTTCCTCTGCTCTCAGAGCAAGGCTTTGGCCTGGCATTCGCACACTCGGGACATCTGGACTCTAGGAGGGAGGGAACCAGATTCAATCAGAGCATCCTTCCCTCTGTTTCAGCAGTCATTTCATAAAGCCACGTCTGAATGTGGAAGGCCTAGTTTACCAACTGCTCTGCTTCCTTCTTTTTCCCTCTAGGCTTAATCTTGTCCCTTTGTGATTTCTTTTTCTCCTCAAGACTATCCTTGATGTCCTTATCTCACCTGGATGAAGAATATTCTTCTATTGGAGTAGGGTGGTGACAAACAGCCTGTGATCCGCTGACCCATCAGCTCCCGAAGGAAGGCTCTGGCCTTTGGAAGTTACTTCTCTCCCAGGACCTAGCATTTGGTGGAACCTCCACACCTGTTGCACCCCTCCACACCTGTTCTAGGTTTAGATCTCTCCTTGCAGCGCTCCCCACCTCCCAAACCAATTTTACTCAGACTCCAAAGGAAGAAACGCTGGGTCTTTTAAACCGTACAGCTACCATCAGTCTAATCAGTAAAAATGCATCCTCTCTGCAGTAGTTGTGACCACAGTATTCAACTACTAATGAAATGAGCACTGTTTTCATTTAGCATCTGTAACCTCTGAAACACAAGTTAATCATTTTAGAGATGAGACCAGGTTTTTCCCCATCTGAGTTTGTGTTCAGTATCATCTCCTCCTTCTCCTCCCCTGACCTTGATTACTCTGAAGCCTTCGGTGACAGTGCAGAATGTGACACACATGTGGCACAACATGGCCACACAGGTGGCCCAGGTGCAGCGTGTCTCATCGCATTGTTTGGCTCCGATGCCCATGGGGCCATGCCCTGCAGCAGCTCCATGCACAGCCTGTTTGTGGCAGGAGAGGGCATGGGGTAGGCAGAGGAGGGAGGCGTGCCCCTGCCCTCAAGGAGCTTACTGTCCTCAGGGTGGGTGTGTGAATGTTAGTCTTGAAAACACTCTAAAATAAATTATGCTTGTTACCAGAGAAAGGCAGGATGGATGGCTTCCTGGAAGAGGAGGGTTTGCAGCAGGCTGTTGACGCCTGGGAGTGCTTGAGTGGGGAGTGGGCAACACAGTACCTTAGAGTCAACCAGTTCTGATTTGAGGCCCCAGCTCTGCCTATTATGTGACCTTAAGCAAGTTACTTAAACCTGAAGTCAGAGAACAAACTCTTGTGAGAACTGAAACCTTGTATAGTTCTTGGCGCAGTAGAAGCTCCATAAATCATGTTTCCCTTTCAGGTGAGAGATGGGAAAGAATTTTTTTAAATGGGAAAATAGCTTATATTTGGGGACAGTGGAAGAAGAGCATGCCGAGGGATTAGGGGAAGGGGAATATAGAGGCTTTGGGGGGGTATAGTGCCTGTTTTTACCTCTTAAGCAATGATATTCATCTTTTTCTTTTTTGCGGTACGCGGGCCTCTCACTGTCGTGGCCTCTCCCGTTGTGGAGCACAGGCTCCGGACACGCAGGCTCAGCAGCCATGGCTCACGGGCCCAGCCGCTCCGCGGCATGTGGGATCCTCCCGGACCGGGGCACGAACCCGTGTCCCCTGCATCAGCGGGCGGACTCTCAACCACTGCACCACCAGGGAAGCCCAATATTCATCTTTTTCCAAAGAAATATGAATCAGTCTTCTCTTTGCCCTGCAGAGCACTGTCCTTGTCTCCCATTGTAGTCTGGTTTGTTTGTCAGTCCCTGGCTCTCTGAGTCCCAGCTGTGCCTGTTAACCATGTTTCTCTGTATCCAGGAATGCTCCCACACCAGCCCGCTGCTGCCCGGCGGTTGGAACGCTGTATAACACCAACACACTCGAGGCTTTCAAGGCTGCAGATAAGAAGCTACTTCTGGAACAAGCAGCAAACGAGGTTAGCTGGGAAACATAAGGTACCTGTCATATTTTCCATGGTCCCACAGGCATGATGCCTCTGATCCTGAGGTGCATGAGTCTGTTATAGAAGCTAGTATATAGCCAGTATTCAAGCGTAACTGTGGACTTCGGCGTTGACGGGAAGGTCAGGGGGGAGACAGCGAGGCTCTCGCCTGGGGATAGGCTGGAAGGTCAGTGCAGGGCAGGGTGTGAAAGCTCTGCTGCTGATCTCTAGTTAGCATTTTGCAGCAGCTTGACCTCTCTCTGTGAGTTCTGTTCCTGTGTCTGAATGCATTTGGGTTCTCTGTTCTTCATGCCCCTTGAAGAGGCTTTCTAGTTCTAAGCACTGTAGTGCTGTCATAACTGATCGTGTAGTCTCTCCAGTGTCCTCAGGGCTGGATCTAAATGGCTCCATCTCATTTACAAGGCTCCCTGTGGCCTGGCCTCTGTGGCCCTGTGGCCTTTCTGTCCTGTCACTCTTGCCCTCGCTGTCTTTGATCCAGTCATAGCAAATCACTTAGAATTCCTTCCTTCACCACTTTTTGTTCTCTCCTCTCTCCTTGAGACATGATGTTCTCTCTGCCTGGAATGTCTTTCTTTTACTTCTTCACATCTGAGTTAGTGTGAGGAATACATTAGGGGCAGTTTATCCCAGCCCCTCTAACACCCACTTAGTCGATGGTCTTCACACTAGTCTTAGAAAAGAGTCTGATTTATGTGAGGGTCGTGGTCAGAGAGGGAGGTCTCCTGCCTTTGGCCTGAGGAGGGAGTCCTTCCCGTCCCCTGGGATGGGTGACCATGGTTGATTAACTTGGCCTGCGGCTCGACTGCTCCTGGGCTCCTGCTTTGGCTGCACATGTCAAAGGCCGACTCCAAAGAGGTGGGTCAGGTCTTAGGCCATCATCGAAAAAAGCACGTTGCTCCCCACAGGAATCCTATCCTCATCCCTCATCCGAGGCTCAGCCTCCCGCAACCCCCAGCAGTTCCCGCCCCACCCTGGTTTTTCAGAAGCGGGGCCTCCTCTCCTGTGGTCCAGCTCCTCCAAGGTTATTATTCCAATAGCAGGAACTTCTCTTTCCTTGTTTCCCTCTTCCACTCACATGTGGGCAATGGCTCTTATTGACACACCTGTTTGTCTTGCTTAGTGACACAAAGTTTAGCAACTAATCTTCACTACTAAAGCATCTTGCAGTCAGCAGCCACTGACCAGGACCAGCTTCTGCTTCCAGTCACAGTCCGTGCTGAGTATCCATACTCGTGATTTTTTTTCTTCTTCAGGGAAAGATAATCCCAAATAAGACTTTTAAGAAATCCCTGTACATAGTTCAGATCACTGCCTCCGGAGCACCTCCCTGGCTCCTTTCCCTCCCGTGTCCTTAGCTGAGGTCAGGGCTCCTCCCAGGAACTGTCCACCCTCCTGTGAGGGCACCTGCTGCCTAGTGGTGTACAGACATTGACGCCTGGCTCTCTCACAGCCTGTTGGCTTCTTGAGGGTGGGGACTGTGTCTCCTATTTCTGTAGCCCCGATATGCTTGCTCTGTAGTTGAGAATAAGTAAATATTTGTTGAAGGAAGTAACGAAGCCGTAAACAGGCTGGTTGCCTCCTCTGATGCTGAGCCCCACTGAGAGGAGGCTTCTGGGTTCTCTGACTTTCCTCAGTCTCTGCAGGGAGTGGGGCTGGGGGAGAGGCAGTGTGAAGGGGGCAGAGTGAGTGGTGACGCACGTCACTGCCCATGATGAGTGGTGCTGGGCCTGCGGGCAGGAAGGGCTTGCTGCTGGGCAGCTCCACGTGTGTCTGGGAGGGAGGAGGCCCTGGCACCTGCCTTGATGCTTTTCCTTCTTCTGGCAGATCTGGGAATCCATCAGATCGGGGGCTGCTCTTGACAACCCTGTCCTCCTCAACAAGTTCCTCCTCTTGACATTTGCGGTAAGTCCACGGACTCGGCTGCATCTAGACTGCTGACTGCCCTGGCCAAGCCCAGTGCGCCAGTGGGTCAGTCTGCTCTCTTCTCCCTGAAGCTTCTCCCTTGTGTTAGTCAAGTCATGGCTGTTAAAGAAATGCTCTGTTAGTGGCCGGATGGTGCTGGCCCTTACCACTGATGCAAAATTAATTCATTCTTACTGATCGTACTGGTGGTTGTTGCCTGACTCTCATCATTTAGGATGTGACAGAGTCGGGTTCCAGACCACAGTTCATCATTGCTAATGTCTTTGTTAAGTTCAGCGCTGCAGAGCTCAGTTGCTGGGTCCATCGACACGAGGAACAGGTAACGACTCAGGGATCTTAGCCATCCCCAGGTGGCTTCTAGATGAGAGGGGATCACGCTACATAGCTTGTCCACACAACTGTGTTTTTTTAAGAAAGAAAAATATTTTTTGCAAGTGAAACCTAATTAAAGTGAACCTTAAGGGCAGCCTTGAAGAGGAGAAAAAAATCACATTAGGGTAACATCTGCTGCCTAGGGAAGCAGGGAAAGGATCTGGTCGTGGTGATGGGGAAAGTGGGAGGAAGGTAAGGGCTGATTGTAGAAGTACCAGCTACATGCACACGTGCACACACGTGTGTGTGTATATACATATATGTGCATACATGTGTGTATCCATATATCTACATATAAAACTAGTTTATCCTTTATAATTATGTTGACAATATAATATTCTGTCAAGTGTATGTTCTTTAGACTCAGGTATGTCTAGGTTGTTGTCAGTCTTCACTATTATAAAAAAATGTTACAGTGAACAACGTCGGCCACGCTGATTTTCTTTTCCTCTTTATTTCTTTATAATACATTTTTTGGGGTGGGCATGTAAACGTACTGATGTTGACACGTATTAAGTGTGTTGGCTGTTTCACCCCAGGTTCATCCGTTTCGGATATTAACCCTCTTCCCTACATTTTTCTTCCTTTTTTCATTTGCCAGTTATAGGCCTTGCCTTCTTCGTCCCCCATGAACTAGTCCTCCATTTCTAACTCATGCTGCCTCTCTGATGTACCGCCCAAGGCAAAGGAGAGAGAGACGGGGTCCACACTGGAAGCGATACCCTGGGGGGCCATCTACAAGGAGCACATTTTCCAACAAGTTAAAATGCTTTCTGTGTGATAGTGGCGAGATAGAAAAAGGTTCAAATTCTTCAGGGGATTGCTAGGCCCAATTTGGCATTAATAATTTGTAAATTTGAGTAATTTTGTAAGCTCAGTACTAGGATAAATATAAGCAGTGCTAATTAAAGACTTTGGTTTTCTTACTTTAACATCAATACATTTTCTGTACCAAGAATTCTAGTTAGTATAATCTAATTGACAATTTGCATTTAACTGAGAAAATAGTCTTAGCTCCCACTTAAAGTTTTAAGGCATTTCCCAGAGTCATTATGTGCATTGGTCCTGTTGCCCTTTCTACTGAGCATTCTTAGCCTGACTTTAAAAAATTTAAAAGTCTCTGTCTTAAAAAATCATCAGACACAAAGGGCTTTATGTTTAATGTAATCTAGATCCTTTGTATCCCCAAATAATTCTAAGAAATTCAAGCCTTTTGACTTCTGAAGATGACTTGATGAAGCTTCTTAGAAACTGTGAAGTCCTTCATCTTGAATTGTTTAACCTTTTACTAAAGATCAATTATGAAAAATCATTTAAATACAAAGAACATAGAATAATCTCTGGAGGTGTTTTCTGCTTTCCTTTCTACTCTTTTTAGGACTCAAAGGTACAGACACTTTATTAATTTCAGTTTTTCAGTTTGCTTTGCTGTTGTTAAAGGGAATTTGTTCTTAGTTGATCAATTAGTGGGCGGAATTAAAGACTGTGGGAACTATAATTACTAGACTTTTTCATCTGGACACACATTTATGTGTAAGTTTATATTTAAAAAGTCATCTAGCATGACTCCATTTACTTGAAAAGCCCAGAACAGGCAAATCCATAGAGACAGAAAACAGACTAGGAGTTTCCAGGGGATGCGAGTGAGGCGAATGAAGAGTTTTCTATGAATGGTATTTCTAACTAATAAACCAATGGGGAGCTTCTGCTGTTGGAGTTTCTTTTTGGGGTGATGAATATGTTCTGAAATTGGTGGGGATAGTGATACAACCTTGTCACTGTAGTAGAAAACCACTCATACGCTTTAACGTGGCGACTTTCATGGTACGTGAATTATATCTCAATGAAAAGTCTCCAACCAGCCATCCCCTCTTTATTCTTAGCAAGATTCGAGAGGAAATATTAAGTAGCCAAATAAACTGCATAGTGGTCAGTGGTAACGGACTGGCGGGGAAGCTGTCAGATACCCACATAACCATGGGGTCCTCCCATGTGAGTGACTCAGGCCACACCTGGTGTAGGAATTCAGAGGCGAGAGCGTTTGACCTGAGTGGGAATGGCATCTAGAACAGCCTCACAGGTCACTGCCCCTTCATCACCTCCCCTGGTCAGGGGGCAGCCACATACACCCCTGAAGATGTGACCTCTTATATCATCGATGCTCCTTAGCTTGTAGAAGCTCTCCTGTGACTCATACAGCTGATCATGTACTTACTTTATCTCTGCTCCCTGCAGAGACTGAGCTGCCCGAGGGCTGGACTGGGTTTTATTCATCTTCTTATTGTCAGAGTGTCTTAACATTTTGCCTTGTACACAGCAAGTGCTTAGTCGTTGACTTGAATTTCACCAACATGGCATTTCTGAAAACGGCATTATATTATCTCAGGCATATATAGGTTATGAATAGAACATTTTAATAACTTTAATAGCATGCTTAGTTCATTCAGTTGTGAAAAGAGTGGTAACTGTTTGGAGGTCGTACCTCCACAGATGGCACACTATGTATGTGTGGAACCGTGGACAGGAGCCTAAGTATTGGAAGTAGAATTCTGCTCTCCTCTCTGCCACTTAGTATCTTTGTTTTGTTCAAGCTTTTTCACCCCTCTGTAAGCTTCAGTTTCCTGTCTATAAAATGGGACGATAACGGTTACCTCCCAGGGTGGTTTTGTGTATTAAACAATGATGCCGACAATGTCAATTACTTACTGAATACTTCCTGTTAGCAAGTGGCCTATAAAATATATTATGTCTACCATGATATATTAGTGTGTGGTGTGTGGGAATATTTTGGATGAACACAGAGTTTCCATATCCTATCATGAGTTCTGCTGGAGATGAGAATTTCTGACAAGCTGGTTGTATCTTGTGTGCATTAAAGTTTTCTGTCTTACGTAGCTACTGGGAAGTTAAATTAATAGGTGCATTTCAGTTTAACCATTGGTGCTGTCCTGATATGTTATATTGCTTCTTCTAGGATCTAAAGAAGTACCACTTCTACTATTGGTTTTGCTCCCCCGCTCTCTGCCTTCCAGAGAGTATACCCCTCATTCGGGGGCCAGTGGGCTTGGATCAAAGGCTCTCACCACCACAGGTATCAACAAATAAAACAAAATGCGGGTAAAACTGGGTTTAACATGCATGAATAGTTTATCTAGCTCATTTTAAAGACACGCTGGCACTCGTCTGGCTGAAGAGGTGGTTCCTGTGGAATCCTCCAAAACTGGTACTGGAAGCAGACTTACCTGCACAGTGTCTGTAAGCGCATTTTGAAGAGTGAGCAGCGCTCCTCCAGGTTCTCAGCAACATTGGTTGAAATGCTAAAAGCAGTGAGGGAGGCATTACAGAAACATTTTGAAAGACTGCAGGAATTTGCCAAAGTGTGGTCTCCACTCTCAGTGTGGGGATCATGAGGCAATATACTTTGGGGAGAGAGTCTTTGAAACCAAATAGAAGATCTCCTCCTTCCTTTTCGCCAAGTTGCAGAGCTTCTACATTAAGAACAGTACATGTAGAGCTAGTCTTTGCAGTTGAAGAAAGACAATAAGGTCATTAGAGATGGTTTCCAGAAGAGCAGTGAAAATAATCAGGTTGGTAGAACACAGACCCTCACCCCCCAAATTCTGATTGTTGTCGAGGCAAAGATTGAGTGGCAAGGTGACTTGAATTCATGAAGCGCGACATTCGCTGAAACCCTGAATTCCGAAGCCAGGGAGCAGCCCTTATTAATTAAAAATAATAGTAAGCTCAGTTACTAAGACAAGTCAAAGGTTATGGTTTTGTGGAATTAATAGGAGAAATGTAAGTGGGAGAAAAAGAGTATTCCTAGGGATTGACTGGTGATGGGTTTGAGGTTTCTTTTAATGGGGACAAAAATGTTCTCAAGTTATTGGGGTGATGGTTGCAAATTCCTGTGAACATGCTAAAAACAACATTGAATTGTGCACTGTGAATGAGTCAGTTGTATTGTAAGTGAAGTAAGCATGTGTCAATAAAGCTGTTAAAAATTATAGAAAGGGTCAAGGAAAAATTCATCCTGTGGTAGATTCATGCTTGGCTGTCACAGGAGAGATAATGTTCGGCTACCTCTCTAAACCTTTGTGGCGACATCTTAGGGAACCGGGAGCCATCCTGCTGTTCCATACAATGTCCCTTTGTGCCCCTGTCTGAGACACTTCACCATGCACATGGAAAGCATCATATAAAAGTGAGGTGGTATGATTTGGGGCACTCTTATGTTTGTTTGCTGCAAAAGTGTGATCAGTCGTTTACAGTCTTCTGGCTTGAAAGTAACACCTTTTATTTTATGTTAATTTTGAGCTCAGAACTAGATGTGTAATTGTCTAGAGAATAACTCAGTGTTTCCTGTTTTCAGATTCAAGCCCTTGAACGAGCCTATGATGATCTTTGTCAAACAGAAGGAGTCCCAGCACTGCCTTACTTCTTAATCAAGTATGATGAGACCATGGTGCTGGTTTCCTTGCTTAAACACTACAGTGATTTCTTCCAAGGTCAGAGGACCAAGGTCAGAGAAACTTTGAGTATCATTTTATTATCCAGTAAGAAAATCTGATGTTCATGTTATGATAGACCACTGCAAAATTTGTACTCGTTTAGGTTTCTTAAGCCCTACGAAGAACGTTTCAGAACATTTCTTTATCTTTACCCTCTTCCACCCCTGCAGTTCCCAAATCAGCTCCTCCGCCAGATTTTCTTAGCTCTGTGACACCTCAGAGTAATTTTGGATTCCTCGCTTCCTCTTAGTGGTAAAGTTATTTCCGTTTTTCTTCCTGATACATTTTGTATCTATATTTTCATTTATTGCCAGAGCTACCATGCTAGTTCAGGTCCCGGTCCTCTCACTGCTAGACAGTGAGAGTCTCTTGCTTCCCCGTGGGAAGGATCTCCCTCAGACCCCTCACGTTCCCTGTGTCGTTCACGGATCAAGAGTCCACAGTGTCTTCCTTCTGCCTCCAAACCACCTTGCCTGCCTCATCTTCCACTGTTTTCCTCACAAACCATTGCTCCAGCTAAGATTCGCTGTTTTCCACCAGACATGCCCCCTGAGCAAATACACCTAGAACTTTTCCTCCATCTCTCTTTGTCCTCGTGTTGTTATCATCTTCCTGAAAGAGGTCCTGCCTGTGTGGATTCTAAGAAACTCTCTCCCCTTGCTGAAACCCTGCCTCCACGGTGAGGCCTTCTCATGGTGTGGCAGGTGTGACCTGTCCCCTCTGACCTCACTGCCCTTGCCCCCCGACCTCCCCCTTGCCTGCTCCACTCACTCGCTTGCATACAGTGCCTTTTGTGCTGTTAGGCTGTAGGCTCTCAGAGGGCAAGGACCAAGTCTGACGTACCCGTGTCAGCGTGGTGGCCAGCCCTTGTACCAGGCCCTGAATACAATTCTTTTGAATGAGGGAAAGAGTACTATGTCTTTTCGATGTGATGAGATACATAGTAAGGTGTCTTAGCTGTATCGGACACTGAAAGTTAAAAATAAAAAAATTCATGATGAGTATTATGCAGTTTTGAAATTAAGTGGGAGAATTTCGGTCACTGTGTAGATGTATCAGGGCTGAGAAGAGACAGGCCTCTCCCTGGTGCCCTGACTCTTAGCCTGAACTTCAGATAACTTTTTGTAAGTACACTTTTTTTCTCAAACACATTAGCATTTTGTTTTTCAGAGGGAGCCCTGTTTAAATTGATGACTGAGGACTGGATTTTTATTAAAATTCTCCCCACCACCACCACCCCAGGCATGTTCACGGAACTGTAGCTAAATTAGTAGCCGCGAGACCAACCATTGATGATTTGAAGCCCAGTGGAGGGCGAGGCCGTGTTGTGACGGCAGGTGGGGCGAAACGGCCTGGGTGTCAAAGCAGCTGGATTTCACGTTGTGTGTGGTGAATGCGTGGTCCTCCCCAGAGGGCAGCTCTACTGAAATAACAGTTTGCAGAGCACGTGACAGTTTAAAAGGGGCTTTCATGTACTGGATCACGTAATAACTAGGTGAAATAGGTATTCTCAGTATCTGCTTTTCCTGTTTGACAGAAATGAGACTCAGAGTCACACGGCCGAATTGTCTCATTCCAAAGCCTTTGCACTTTCTTCCATTCCATTCTCATGTCACTGGGGGAGAGGTGGTCCCTGCTTGACATTTGGAATCAAATAAGCCTGGCTTTGATACCCAGCATTGCCACCTAGTAGCTCCGTGAACTTGGGGATTTTGCACACCCTTTCTTCACCTGGGTCTACCTGTTCTGTGGTGCTAATCCTACCTCCTGCACGGCTGCTGAAGGTGAAACGTGATGATGTGGATAAAATGCCCAGCATAACAGCAGGTGCTCACTTTCTTTCTTTCTCAGCAGCAGCCAGTTTTTTGTTGTTGTTGTTGTTGTTTTTGCGGTACACGGGCCTCTCACTGTCGTGGCCTCTCCCGTTGCGGAGCACAGGCTCCGGACGCGCAGGCTCAGCGGCCATGGCTCACGGGCCCAGCCGCTCTGCGGCACGTGGGATCCTCCCGGACCGGGGCATGAACCCGTGTCCCCTGCATCGGCAGGCGGACTCTCAACCACTGCGTCACCAGGGAAGCCCTATCAGCAGCAGCCAGTTTTTAACGACTGGATGACTCTCTGGAGTCTCCGTTGAAGCGGTCTTGGCGTGTTCGCCAGGGCCCCGACCTGGAGGCCAGCCACTGGCCAACTCAGACACAGATCCTTTGCTTGGCTAAGGTTGATCTCAGGAAAGCCTGGCATGGCTCAGCGCATATACCGAGCACCTCCTATGAGCCAGAAATTATGAAATATGATTATACCTGTTCTTGCCTTCTAGGGGAGATGAGACATTGACTTGTGGAAAGTTAACTAGAAACCCAAGTCACGGAAAAGAAGTGCCAACGAAATAATATGGATGGTACTTTTGGTTGTTTATCTGTGCATCTGTGCCCAGTCTTGTTGTAGACAGGATCACCAGAAGCTGTGCAGATTGGTGGGCTCTTAGGAGTTTCATGGCCTCCTGGCAGACCTCCCTTCTGTGGTCCTGAATGTCCCATCCATTCCCCACACTGCTGCCCAAACGCATTTTCTAACACAGAAATTGCATTGTGTCACTCTTCTACTTAAAACCCTTCTGTGGTTCCTGTTGACTTCAAGATAAAGTTAGAAATAATTAGCATTCAATGCCTCCTCAAACCTGGCGCCTGCCTATCCCTCTAGCCTTACCTTCTGATGCTCCCCAAGATGCATCCTATGCTGTGGCTGCAACTGTGACCTCCAGACGCCCCTAATCCCCCCATCTTCCCCCCATCTTCCCACCTTCAGTCACGCCTGTCCGTTGTCCTTCCTGCACCTGGCTAATGCCTCACCCCACCCCCTTTCCGGTTCATCACCCGTGGGAAGCACTGGCGGATTCCTTGTACTGTTTGATATCCCTCTTCTGTGTCCTGGTAGCAGCCTCTCTCCTGGCAGTGACTGGGCTCGCGTGTAATCTTGGTTTGCTGCTTGTCTGCCTTGCCTGTATCACCGACCAGCCCGTGAGCAGTGTTAGCACAGAGACCGTGTTATACCCCACAGCACATCCTCTGCATTTAGCGTAATGCCAGACACTTAATGGGCACATGGTGTGTGCATGTAGAGAGGAGAGAGTTCCTTGTGGACAGGCAGAATCACTTGTGGACTTGAGCAGAGCCCTGAAGAAATGATTTCTGTGAAACCTACGTATCACTTCACTTGAGGTCACTCTGGCCTTTATGGCATGGATCTTGTTCACTTGCTTTCATATAATTCCAGTTGCTCTTTCGTGTTCCTTGAGTCATGAAGTTTCTTTGAAATTTTTTATCCTGTTCTTCCACAGATAGGCATTATTTTCAGTGTGAGCTCCTGCAGTTGTGCTCTGGCTTCATGTATTATTTCCTGCCTCCTCTTACCAGGACTTTGACTCCCGAGAAGCCACTGTTCCTCTGTGAGCCCTGGTGTCCTCACGGATAAGGTGGAGAACTGTTGGAATCTCTCCAGGTTTCTCTCTTTTCAGTTTGTTTTCTCTTCTGGGGGAGTCTGGTGCCCACGACCCTAGTGACCACATTCTCCAGCCTGAACCGCCTCTGGACTCCCGGACTGCGGTATCCAACCCCCTGCTGCCTTCTCCAGCTCCTCGAATTCAGTATCTCCAAGCTGAATTCATGATCTTCACCCAAGTCTGGCCCTCTTCTGGGCATCGCTGTCTTGATGACACCGTCATCCATCCAGTCCCGAGAGTCAGAAATCTGGGCAGCTTGCTAGACACCTCTCTGTCTTTTACCACCTCCGTGTCCCATAGATTTCGTGTCCTAAACTTCTGTCGGCCTGCCGCCTTTGCGTTTCTTCTGCCGCCACCCCAATCTAAGCTTCATGGTCTTTTGTCTGCTTTCCTGCAGTTCCTCCTAACAGGGCTCCTTGTGCTGCTCAGGCCTCCCCCCAGTCCATCCCCATATCACCCCAGGCAGTCCTCTGAAAAGCAAATCTGATCATTTCACTCTCAGAATGAAGCATAGAAATGCCTTCTCTCCCGTGCTCTAAGAATAGACACCTCATTCCTTCCCGTGGCGTACAGGACTCTGCATGGCCTGGCCCCTGTGTGGATCCAGCCCCAAGTCCTTCTGTGCTCCCCTCAGAGGTGCTGGGTGCCCTCCTGCTGCAGGGCTTTTGCACGTGCCTTTTGCCCGGAACTCCTGTCTCCTTTCTCTTCTGCCTCTTCTCTCCCCACCTCCACACCTCCCCTTTGCCCAGTGAAGTGTTCACTCTTTCTTCAGACTGAAACTTATTCATGATTCCTTGGGGAATCCCTCCCTGACCACTGTAAAGAGGTTTATGCTGCCCATAATGGGTTCTCATAGTGCTATGTGGCTCCTCTTTGTAATATTTAGCACAATGGTATTGTACATTTTCTTGAGTGGCCTTTGATCTTCTTCTCCCATGTCAGCGTAAGCTCCATGAGGGCAGGTATCCTGTCTGATTTTTCACCATTGCATCTACATCCCATGGTATCATGTCTGGTATGTAAATACAAAGGGGGACTGAGGGCTTGAGTGTATGAGTTGTGAGGGTTGGAGCTCACATATGTGAAATACCTGGGTCAGTGCCCCTTACATAGGAGGCCTTCAGCAAGTGGTAGGTTACTCCTAATAAGGCTCATTATAAGTGTTTGTTTTCATATGGTCTTCTGATTCAGGCTGTGTTGCTTATAAAGGCGTTCCCAAATTGTCTATGCACCTAAAGTCAATATGTAGTATGAGTTGTAGACGTGCTTGGTGGTCTGACAGGAGACAGAGTATTGGGGAGGTGTGTGATCTGCTGTGGGTAATTGAGAGCAGTAGTTCTTAATTTGAGGAAGGGATGATGGTCAAACGTATAACCTCTGAGAATTTGGTGGAAGCAATCATCCTTGCCCACCAAAAAATAAGCATCTAATATCTAACGTCAGGGGATCCACAGAACACTGAAACACATTCCTGGATCCTCTCTGGGTCCCTGACTTAGAGAAACATGAAGG